CCTCACCCCTTTTGATAGTATCACTGATTGGCTACCGTTTTACTGCATTACTGAACTTGATATATTGGTTGGTGAATTCCATTTCATGGAAACTGAATTGGTGTCGTTTGGACGATTGTCCAACGACCTTTCTGTATTACTGAGCTCAACCCCGTTTGGTAGTCAATTGGATCGAGCCGGCGAGGGCTTGGTCGTGAAAATTGTCATGCCACGGGGACTGTACTGAGGAACCTTGTAGTAATGAGACTCTCGGTTCTGGTAAACTCGAGTATTACCAAAATGACTGAATGGAGTGCGGGCCCGGTTGGGGAATGTTGGGTGGAAGGAATGGGAGTAAAGAGTTGTCTACGGTTGGTTATTCTTTTAAAATTGACGGAGGGTCAATGAGGTTGGATCAAGATTGCAAGCGTGGAAATGGGCTCTTGAGAGCCGACCGTATCCTTTCATTGATTTGCTTTATTTCGGAATTGCATACTTGAATTGAATAGTTATGCTTATGTGATCTTAACTGCTATTGTGATAGTTGCTCACTGGGCTTTTGCTCATTCCGTGTCATTTGTTTTCCTTACAGGAAAATGAAAATTTTGGAAAAGATTGTGATAGTTGGATGACAAGTTGAGCTCTTGTACATGTATTTTTGAATAGCTCCTTGTGGGAAAAAACCCTAAGTGTTTTGTTTCCACCAATGTTTGGTGTGTAACTGGCTTTTGGTACATGTATGAACTAGACGAATATCTTGGTTTGCCGTTTGGCTTGTAAATGTTGATTTCCAATGTATATATATGCTTGGCCGTGGTTTGGATAAATTTCGGCTTCGATTTCATTTTTATTGTTTATGATTTTGACTTGTTTGCGCGCAATGGTAAGTTCCAGAACGTAATAGATCGACGTAAACTGAACCGTTAGTCCTGGCGAGAGCTGGGCAGGCAGTCCGCTAACCCCTTTGGTTCGCCTTAGGGGAAGGTGGGGCTGTCACAAGCTTCTTGGCCGAATGTTCTTGCTCAAGAAAGAAAGAAAAGCTCTCAATTTCTTCCTTCTATTTCTTGCTCAATCTTCAAATCCAACCAATAAAACTCCAAATCATTCCATAAAATCTCTTTGCTAAGTGATCTTGAGGTGTTTTGTGGAGTTGTTTGGAAAGCTAAGGTGACTAGTTGCTATATCTCTTGTATTGCTAAGGTGAGTTGTGAAGAACCACTCTCCTTCCTCTAATGATGTTCAATTCATGATTGGTGGTGGTATAAGATGCACTTTTATGGATTATATCTTGATTTTGGTTGAATTGGTGAAGTTTTATAATTTTTGGGGATTTTTCTGTTTTCATATGGATATGATTATGGGGTCATGTATGATGATTGGAAATGATGTTTAATGACTCTAGGAGGTGGAAAAAGTGATTAATTACAATCAATTTCTGTTTTGGAAGGAAAAGTGGAAAACTAGGTTTCAATGTTCTTCATTCTGTCCGAATTTTTAGCTCATAGATAGATGCCGAATTGGCCTTGGCTTAAAACATGAAAGTTGTAGGGAATGACATTTTTGAGGTTCCTACAAAATTTCAGGTCAATGGAAGTAGTGTAGAATGAGAAAAGTCGAAATTACTATTGCTGTTCTGGTTTTACCCGAATGTAAGAATTGCGCCTGTAATTGGTTGTTTTGGCTGGAATTTCTTCCGAATTGGTTGTTGAGGTCTTCTGATGAAATTTATCCCTGTTTCTTAGCTTTCAGATGGTTTTGGAATTTCTGGATTTGGACTTGGATAGCCTACTTTATGATGTTTCCGCTAGAATGCGTTCTGTGAATCTATTTTTGTGATTCTGGTATGGTATCTTGTATTTTTGACCTGGTTACACTCGAAACTGGGTTGAGTGACCTTCTGTAATGTTGTAGCCCTGTCTTTTAGCTTTGAAACGGTGTATCTTTCACCTTCATCCGACAATCGTAGCGCCTTTGGTACCATTACCGCAAAATGACGTCAAAACTGTTTTTCTGGTTTTGAGCTTAACTTTCATTTCCGGACTTTTCCCTAGCTTGACTTGTACTAGTACTACTTGGAGCTTGCTGAATGGCTATTGGATGAACTTGTTGTTGTGTGTGTACCTTTGGGTTTGAATGAGAAAAATCATGAAGCCTTGATGGCTGGAAAAGTAAAGAAAGATAAGAGGAAGTGCTGTCCGAATTTTGAAAGGACTTGTTTGCATTGAGTTTGTGAACTAAGACTTAGATTTGAGCAAGGCAATGATATATGATGGATGGTTTCTGAGCCATGGAGGTGAGTGACCCCAAACTATTGTTTAAGCTTCTTATGAAATGTTTCTTGCATTATTTACTCGACTGCGTCTCATGCGTGCTTGCATGTGAATTCATGATATGATTTTGGCTTCAATGAGATCTTGGGGAGTCTTGTGCTGGACACCAACGTCTCCACCTCTGTTTATTTGGAGCAAATGGCTCCGGAGCTCAAAAAGGGGCTCCCTCTTAATGTTAATGTTCATGTTAATGTTAAATGATCTATTTGAGCGTTGGGTGTTCAAGTGCTATGACTTCACTGGCTCACGAGAGCAATAAGCGGACATTTGTTCTTTGAATCATGACATCATCGAAAGGATCGAAATGCAATATTGTGAAATATATTTGATTACTGATTTTACTGGTTACTCGCTGAGCTTTTAGCTCACCCCAAAAATGTTTTATTCCCCTCCACAGGGCTCGAGGCGAAGGAAGCGTTTGTATTAAAGTTCTCCGTATGAATGGTTGGTATCAAGGATCAGAGTGGCGCAGCGGAAGCATGGACGCTTCGCTTATGATATGTAATTATTGGAGAATTTGATGTATATTTGAGTTTTATCTCGCAATTTATTTGAGGACTGTAGTGAACGATTGAGTCCCGACGAGAGCCGGGCAGGCGGCCCGCCGAACCCTCTGGTTCGCCTTAGGGGGAGGTGGGGCTGTCACACTTAGTGCTTTTCAAGTTCACGCTCAGGTGCAACTCCTTGGTTGGAGTCCAAATCTGCGATAAAATATCATTTAAGAGTTTGAAATCAACTAGGGTTCAAAACATAGGAGTTTCGCTTAAAGAAAATCAAGTAAATGAAACTCGTTTAAATAGTATTCATTTTGCTTATCACACCCTAGAAAACTCATGCTCGCTCTTTTAGTTTTTGGTAAGGAAGTGATTAAAACTTTTATGTTCGCAAAGTGGTCTAAAAGATGAGGAAAACATATTTCGAGTGGTCACTACTTTTGCCTTTTAAAAGGTACGAGTTTTGGCCAAATTTCAGCTTATATACCTCTACTAACGGAAACTTGAACACCAAAGACAATCCAAGTTCACTTCGATCTCAAATCATCGCTCAAGTTTCAAGTTCACTCGCTTATCCTTCGAGCTAAAATTTAGGCAGCATTTCCCCTATTTTCTTACTTTTTCCATCCAAGTACAACTTAGATTCACAAGCCAACAAACCTCCAATCCAACCACAAGTGATAACAAACAACATACATCTATTCAAGGCCTCAAAACCAACTAAACAAACCAAATAATAACTTATCACCATGGATACCAAAGCTGGAAACCAGTTTAGAGAAGAAATTATAAGTGGCAGGTTTGTCATCCTTCGGTGTTTTGGTCATAACTGTAGCTAGGTATATCGGATCGAGGTAAATTTTATAGCGTTTCAAAGCTAAGACATAGACCTAAATTTTCTATGAAGACAGTGACACCCAGTTCTAGCATTTTTAGGGTAAAAAATGGACGGTCGAAGCACATGAAAAACAGGTCAGGAAAATTAGAGTTTTTGTGCAGTCAGGAGTGCTCTGGCCAAATCATAAGCTAAAATGATCCAATTGATCTGAAATTTTGTAGGTAGAAATTTAACTCAAATCTCTATAACTTTCATGTTTTGTCCAAAACCTGATTCAGTTTAAAACATGGAGAAATTCACAGCCCAAGTTGATTCCAAAACAGGGCAGAACTGACATTCACCACCAAATGCTGGAAATGCAACTTTCAACTATAAAAAGTAATAAACATGCCACTAATCACTTCACAAGTTCCATTTCCAAGCTCAATAACAATATTTTCTAACTAAACATCAATAATCAAAGCTGGAAAATACAAACCCTAGATGAAAATTTCACTACACCACCAAAAACTAGAAAATCATCCATCAAGTGCCAAGATTGAAAGCTTCTATAGCATTTTTAGCTAGATTAAGGTAAAGACAAGAGGTGGATGAACTTATACCTTCCCAAAGCCTTCTTGTAAGTGAGGAATCAACCACTTTCTCCCAAGATTTTCACCACTCCTAGCTTCCTAAGCACCAAGAGGTAAGTTTAATCGGTTTGGTTTGTGTGATTTCAACTCAAACAAGGCTAATCAAGGATGAAGTTGGAGGTTTCTTCTCTTTGTTTTTCCTCTCCAAAGCCACGGCCAACATGAAGGAAAAATGAAGGAAAATGAGCCAAGAAGAAAGATAAGAAGGAAGAAAACTAGCTTGGTCAAACTTCCATGGATTGCCGACACTTGTCGCACCAAGATTCAATCTTGTTTTTGTTTTCTTTTCTCCCTTTATTTGATCAATATTTTTGGCTGGTTTAGGGAGTAATTAGGGGCTGATTATCTGAAATAAAAACAAGAGGATTAAGGCAAGAAAGTAGGGGTCAAGTGGGGTACTCGATCGGTAGCAAACGGTGCACGTCGGTTCAAGTCGATTTTCCTTAACTCTCTCGTACTTGTGTTTTTTACTTATGGTTCACTAGCTTATTATTAGCACTTCTAATCACACACTTCCTCCTATTTAAAACCCACTCTTAACCATCAAATTTAGTACATACACCTCCACAATTAATCACACTATCAAAATACGCGAAAACCCTAGTTTACCCTAACGATAAAAGGAAAGGTAAAACTCTTTTTTTTTTTTTTATTGAAGTTTTTATTTTATTATAGCAAATCCACGAACCCAACAAATGGGAGTACATGCATATTCAAACGACTACAGTCAAACCCTTCTAACTATAGGCATCCCCCAAGCATCCATTTGACAATCCCCTCTAACCAACAATGGAAGTAAAGCCAACGTCTCATAAACCCTATCAGAGCCAGAGTCAGCTCCAACATTAGACAATCTGTCAGCCACCCTATTGACCTCTCTAAAACAATGAGTCACCGCATGTAAATGATGCCGGAATGCAATCAGCTCCTCAAACTCTCGTCGCAAAAACCAAGGAACCCTGAGCTCCCCTCGCACCATCCGGACCAAAAGCAAAGAATCAGACTCCACATGAATAGGAATAATGCCGCGTTGCACACACAGCTTCACCCCATATAGCATAGCTCTTAGTTCTGAATGCAAACTAGTCACATCGCCAGAAAAGCAAGAGAAAGCAAAGACAAAGCACCCCGCCGTATCCCGCAAAATACCACCCCCGCCAGATGTACCAGGATTACCCCTCGAACAACCATCAACATTCAATTTGGGAAGGAGAATAGGCGAAGTCCTCCATTTTACCCAACGTACCGTACTCGCTCTACGACACCTAGAAGCCAACCCAATAAGCTCTTCCCAAGACAACCTATGACCCGCCAGGCAAGGAAAGTGGGAAGAGAGAATATCTCGGAGCTCCCCCACAACCCTCAAATGAATGAGATGGGAGGAAATTCCCTTACCTTCAAAAACCCTCAAATCACGAGCCCTCCAAAGGTGCTAGCAAACCAAACAAGGAAGAAATTGGAAAATCAACCGCAAACAAGGATTAGATGTGGGATGAAGCCACCTTACCGCCAGCGCATGCCGCACCGTGGAAACACAGGAACGCCCACCCACCCCACTTGTAAACGAATTCCAAACTCGTTTGGGCAAATCCCCATTGCAAAAAATATGATCTAAGGTTTCTTCCGCAGGAGCTTCACAGCAGGAGCACCGAGAGGGGCCATGCACCGCAAAACGACGAAGCGTCTCCAAGACGGGGAGCCGTGCCGCAACCAACCGCAACATGAAAAAAGACACTTTAGAGGGAAGTAACGTATGCCAAATAGCCGCAGAAAAAGCCGACCTAATAGCAGGCTGCCGCACCAACTGATAAGCAGATGCAATTGAAAACACACCCGACTCGGTTAAATCCCAAACCATCTCATCTGGCCGCTGCGAGACAGGAGGAGAGATACCCAGAATGGATGAAACAATAGCAGGAGGGAGCCAATGACGCAACATAGAAATATTCCAACGACCTTGGTCAACAAAGTTCGCCACAGAGTGAGTCCCAAAAATCTCAACCTTGTCGCATAACGGACCAGATCCCATCCAATTCTCATGCCAAAAATCCACTGCTCCATTGCCCAAAACCCAGCGAACATGAGAATCCGCTAACGATTTGACGCCAACCAGCCTTCTCCAGATACCAGACTGCCCCCGAACCACATCTGCCTGACACGGGAGCCTGTCACTGAGATACTTAGCGTGCATGAAGGACGCCCATAAGGAGGTGTTACAGCGAAAAGACCACCAAAGCTTTAAAGAGAAAGCATCAAAAATCGACTGTAGCGATCGCAATCCAGCTCCTCCCTCCTCAACAGGCTTAGTCAGGGCTGCCCATTTAATCCAGTGAAACCGAGGGCCGAAATCCGAGTTACCCCATAAGAAGCTACTAAAGATTTGTTCCAATTGGCGGACTACCCCTTTAGGGACCATAGAAGCCGCCATAATATGAATAGGAATAGAGGAGAGAACACTTTTGATCAGAACCAACTTACCACCAGACGACAACAATCTACCAGACCAGGATAACACACGCCTCGACACCAAATTGCAGAGCTCTGAGAAAAAGTACAGTTTCGCCCTCCCAACATATAACGGACACCCCAAGTACTTAATGGGAAACGACCTCTCCTGAAAACCTGTAACCCGAGCAATAGCTCGTTTACGCGCCAAAGGCAGTTTCCGATCAACAAGAAAGCAACTCTTGTGATAGTTCACCTGCTGGCCCGATATACTGCAATAGGCATCCAAAGTACGCAGGATTACTTGTAAAGAGGCCTTCAAACCGCTACAAAAAATGATGACATCATCTGCATACGCCAGATGGGTAATCGGCGGGCAACCCCTAGGAACTTTGAATGGAACAAACGCTCGAAGACCCAGTAAAGCATTTAATGACCTAGACAACACCTCTGCACCCACAACAAACAGTGCCGGTGAGATAGGATCGCCCTGCCGTAATCCCCTGGTCGACTTAAAAAACCCCTTGGGAGATCCATTAATGATCACCGAGAACCACACATTGGACACCAACCGCCAGATCATATCAATCCACCGTTCACCAAATCCAAATCGACGCAACACTTGCATTAAAAAAGGCCACGAAACCCTGTCATAGGCCTTAGCCATGTCAAGTTTGAGAACAACATTACCTCCTCGACAAGGCCTCTGAATGCCAGAAATTAACTCCTGAGCTAATAAAAAATTATCGGCCATTTGCCGACCTTGAACAAAACCACTCTGGTTAGGAGAGATAATACCCGGCAACAGCTTAGCTAGTCTCCTCGCCAGTAATTTAGAAATAATTTTATTCACAAAGGAGCACAAACTAATTGGGCGAAACTGCGAAAAATCCTGAGGAGAGCTAACTTTGGGGACAAGAACAATGGATGTGGCGGTAATACTTTTCGGTAACTCAGCTCCACCAAAAAACCGACAAACAGCTGCAAAAACATCCTCAGCACTATCCGCATCCATGGAGAAAACGACTTCCTTAACTTCCTCTAGAGAAGGGAAACGTTCTAATTCCTCATTGTCCCGCTCCGTCACCACTTTGGGGATCACATCTAACCCATGAAAATTATTCGTACCCGACTGATCCGAAAACAAGCCCTGAAAAAAACTAACAGCCTCTCTCCCAATATCCTCTTCACTACAAAGCCAATCCCCGCCAGAAGATTTAATACGATGAATAACGGATTTACTCCTACGTTCAGCCACCGTTGCATGAAAAAATTTTGAATTTTTATCCCCATCCGCTAACCATCTGATTCTCGCCTTCTGCCGCCAAAACGAATCCTCATTTGCCTGCGTCTGAATCAGCCTAGCCCGCCGCTCACTTAAACAAATTTGATGCTGAACCGAAGGGTCCTCATCAAAACAGTTTTCCGCCTGTATCACCTCCTGCTCTGCCACCTTAACCATCTCAAAAATATCTCCAAATTCATGCTTAGACCATTCCCGCAGCACTTTCTATTATTTATTACAACTAGTGGGGGAGTAATTTAGTAGTAAAGATATGATAAAGTAATTTATTCAAAATAAGAGGGAATTTTAAGAAAATATGAGTGAATTTTCCAGTCGTCACATGTCACATAATTCTTGGTGCATAAAACTTCTTATTTATCAAATTATTACTAACACCTTACCAGTCAGTCACACTATCTTAATGTACTACGACACTTATCATGCACTAAAATATAAGAGGGAAATTATAAAAATCTTGACTCAACTAATGAAATCACTATGAAATTTAGGGCTAGTAAATAGTTAAATAGTCAAGTAAAGAAATATAGAAGGAAATATAAATTAATTTTTCAAAAATGGGAGGAAATTCTAAAGAAATTTTTGGGTCCTCACAGAGTGCATGTTTATCAGTGAACTATTAATGAATTAAACTTTTATCTGGTCTTTTTGGGATAGGTTCCATTACATGTTTATCAATGAATAATTAATTAATTAAACCTTCATCTAACCTTTTTGGGATAGGTTTGCTTGTATGTTTATCAGTGAACCATTAATGAATTAAACTTTCAATAGATTGTTTGCTCTATGAATTAGTTCCTATTAGCCCAAAGGAGTGCAAGTTTACAAGCTTTCTTTAATGAACTCTTTGTTGATCATTGATATGTTTTTCCTTTTTGTGACAGCCCCACCTTCCCCTAAGGCGAACCAAAGAGGTTAGCGGACTGCCTGCCCAACTCTCGCCAGGACTAACGGTGCAGGCAAATACGATCTAAAACGTTCCAGGAAAATAAAAGCAGTGTGTTACCAAATGATGAGGATGGGCAGAACCTGCATTCGCCAACACATCCGCTACCTTGTTTGCTTCCCTATAGCAGTGTGTGAGCTGAAGACCCCCCCAGCCACTTGCTCAATCTTCACCACCTCTCCACTAATGGACCACGGACACTGGTAACTCTTCAAAAAAATACGTTGTAACATCAAAGAATCCATTTCAACCACCAAATTACCCATGAAACCCCGTTGCACACATAACTGTAGCCCAATTAACAATGCCTTGGCTTCTGCTTGCAAGCTGGTACACCTTCCAAGATATCCGGAGAACGCAAATACCATACAACCCGCAGAGTTCAAAGGATCCCCCCTCCACCACTCACCCCTGGGTTACCTTTCGAGCATCCATCAATATTGAGCTTGACAACGCTAGGCCACGAAGCGTGCCATCGAATTTGTCACATGAGGAAGGCATCAAGCTGACACTCCACCAAATCCAAGAACATAGGCCACTCCAACACTCGCTGCAACTCCCCGAATTGTAGCCAATAAGAATCCTTTAAATCCCGAAAGATGGCCTGACATACACCATTAGAATTCTGTACTGTCCCATGGAAGACCACTTTATTTCTAGCCTTCCAAATGTGCCAACAGATGAGACTAGGTAAGAGCCGGAACACAAACTTAAGCCTATCCAATTTCACCGGCTTAAGCCACCAACTAATCAACCACACTCGAACATGGCCGACATTAAGAGCCAATCCACATATCGAGCCAAAAAACTTCCACACCGTAGCTGCAAGTTCCCCCTCCAAAAACAAGTGCCGAAGGGATTCAGTATTCGATAACGGACAACATGAGCACTTTGATGGTTGCTGAAACCCTTGTGTCGCTAACACGTCATCCAGGGGAAGACGATTAAGCAGAAGCCGAAGCAAAAATAAAGACACCTTCAGAGGAACACTTGCATGCCATACTTGTCGAAATAGGAATGAAGACGGCTTCATCTCATGAACCTCTCTATATGCAGATGATATCGAGAACTGACCCGAACTTGACGCTAACCATATCATTCTATTAGGAAAGGCCCCATATGGGCCAGCCACCTCCAATACCTGCTGCACCATATCGAAAGGCAGGACTTCCGCTAGCCTCCATGTGACCCATTCCCTATTCTCCATAACGTTTTGAAATGAGATATCCTCCCGTACCTCCACTCTCAGATAAAAAGCCCCGTGCCCAGTCCAATTATCATACTAGAAGTTGCACCGTCCATCATGCAGACTCCACCCAATAAACAGCTTCGCCAACCCCCTAATGTCTAGCATTCGTTTCCAAGTAGCCGAACCTACTGGAGACGCGGGAATTTGGCAGGGGTAGAGCCCCTTGCAATACTTAAAATGCAGGAATCTCGCCCACAAGGAGAAACCACACCGGAAATTCCACCATAACTTGCAAGACAAAGCCTTATACGTGTCATTGAGCGAACGAAACCCCACCCCACCTTCTTCTGTAGGGTAACACAAGTCCCTCCATCGGATCCAATGGAAATTCTTCTTCTCGCCACCCGTTTCCCACAGAAAATCCACACAAACCCTTTCAATCACCCGAAAAATTCCTTTTGGTATCACACCCACCCCAACAAGTGGATCGGGATGCTGGACAGAACATGCCTAATCAAGATAAGTTTCCCCCCAAAGGACAAAAGCCGTGATTTCCAATAGAACACCTTATCAAGAACCTTCTGGCACAAGTCCGAGTAATAAACCTCCTTGGCTCTACCAATAAACAACGGAGCACCCAGATAACGAACCGAAAATTCTTTCTTTTGAAACTTAGTGACCCGCTCAATTACACCTTTACGAGCTAATGTGGTCCGAGGATGTACTAAGCATCCACTTTTCTGCACATTAACCAATTGGCCAGAGTCATTCTGGTACCATTCCAGTATCCGCATGACTCTCTTTAAAGAAGCCGCTCCCCCATTGGCAAAAATTATAACATCGTATGCAAACGCTAAATGAGTAATAGAGGGGCAATGCCTAGGTACCTTGTAGCCCACAAAATTCGACTGAGATACAAGAGAATTTAAGGCTCGGGAGAACACCTCCGAGCCAATAATAAACAGTGCAGGCGATAATGGGTCCCTTTGACGCAACCCTCTAGAAGATTTGAAAAAACCATAGGGCACACCATTCACAAGTACAGAAAACCAAACATTGAAAATCAGCCTCCACACCATGTCAATATATCTTTCACCAAAACCAAACCGTCGCAAGACTACAGTAAGGAATCGCCAGGAAACCCTATCATACGCCTTAGCCATGTCTAACTTGAGAGCCAACCTCCCCTCCCCTACACGTCCTCCCCATATCCGACATCAGCGTCTGAGCCAATAGATAATTATCCGAAATAGACCGCCCTTTAACAAAGCCACTCTGTTGAGGAGAAATGATCCGAGGCAGCTGTTTATCTCAACTCATATCTTTTAATGATTACAAAACAATTGGATGTTTCTAATACCTTTTGTAAAGATCCTTTTTCAGAAATGAACCAAACAGGTCTGTGGATTTAAAGCAGAAAAAGAAGATCAAAAAGAATGAAGTCTGCTGAGGATGATGTCGGACGCACAAAAGGAGAGTATCGGACGTCCGACATTCTTTGAGTATCTTCGGACGAGTAAAGAACTCAGACTCGGACGTCCGAAGAAGACAAGCCAGGAGTTACTTGATTACTGATCAGGATCGGACGCTCAACACCTGTGTATCGGACGTCCGACAGTACCAACGGCTAGTTGACTCTTCAGTTGCCTTCTACCCGTTGACAGCATTAATTGAACAACCTTCTGGTCTCCTATAAGTAGAACAAAGTCAACCACCTAAAGGGAATTTTGCACATCAAGCCTACATCAGATTGTGAGTGATTCTAGTGCTAGAATACTCAATAGGAACATTTGTACTCTTTGCTTGTGTAATCTTCGTGTAGTTTTTCAAGTGTGACACAGCTTCTTCAATAGTGTAGCATAGTGAGGGTTGCGAGTGTTTGTAAAACTTTCTTGCTTGACCAAGTGTGGTTTGGGGCAAGAAGGAAGTGATCCCTTCCTTGTACACAAAAGATTGGTTGCAAGTTTGTTCAACTTGAAGTAATTTGGTATATAAAAGTGGTGTTCAAACCTCAGTTGTGTTTGAAGCCTGGTTTGTTTCTTTACTTTCATTTATTGCTTTTCTACATAAACTGTTCTTCTCTTCATTTCACGAATACTTGTGCTCTTGTGTTATCTCGTTCATTGGGAGGTATTTGAGAAAAGAAAGGTAGTCTGTGAAAAAGTGGATTATATCTTAGCAGGTTTTTTGAAAGCCTAATTCACCCCCCCTCTTAGGTTGTCTTCGATCCTTACAATTGGAATCAGAGCTTGGTCTCCTAGAGATTAAGCTCAAGCGGCTTGGAGTAAATATGACAACCAGTCATGCTATGTTTGTTGAGGGGCAATCTGTTACTAGGCCTCCCATGTTTACTGGTTCCAATTATGTTAGTTGGAAAGAAAGAATGATTATCTTCTTGCAATCCATTGATATTGAGCTGTGGTTTATTGTGAATGAAGGACCGCATGATGCTAACTTTCTTGATGCAGAAACAGGTTTGTTGCGGCCAAAAACGAGAGCTGAGATAAATGCTCAAGATAGAACCAATCTCACATTGAATGCCAAAACCATGAATGTTCTTTATAGTGTCTTAGACTCAAATGAGTCAATTAGAGTAAAAGGGTGTAAATCTGCCAAAGAAATGTGGGATAAGCTAAGAGAAATTCATGAGGGTAGTGACAACGTAAGAGAGCAGAAAAAGTCCATTCTGGTCACCAAGTATGAATCTTTTAAAATGGAGCCTCATGAAAACATCGACAAAATGTATTGTAGATTTAATGATCTGATCAAGGATTTAGAGGTGCTTGAGAAGGAGTACTCTCTAGGTGAAAAGAACAGAAAAATTCTGAATGCTCTATCAAAGGATTGGGAAAGCAAAGTGACTGCCATAGAGGAAGCCAAGGATCTAAATTCCTTATCCATTGAATCTCTGATTAACTCTCTAACTTCTTACGAACTGAAACTTAAATCTAAGATGCAGGAAGAAGAAGACACAAAAGGAAGGAAGAGTATTGCTCTGAAAGCTTCACAAGATGAAGATGAAAC